TGGACAACGTACTTGAGGGATAAGTTGTTCTCGACCGAGAGGTTGACGGACGAGACGGCGGCGAACGCTGCGTGGTTGCACGGTGGGAACGGATGGTCATAATCCCACACGTGGGTCGTTGTAAAGACCAAGTTGGCAGACCCTTGTGCATCATGGTAGTCGGGAAATGCAGTGGCGCCAACCGCCCAGTTCAGGATGGTCGGAACCGAATCGTTGATCGAGAGAGCGACGTCCGTGTCGGTGGCAGCTTCGATCGTGCGCTCGAAAAAGTACGAAACTTGGGTCGGTATCGACGTCACATGGAGCAAGCGGATCGACGCGGTCGAGTTGGCGTGCGGGACGACAGCGTTCGGCGCAGAGTCGTGCAGGTTGAATACTTGCACGGACACGTCGCGTTGCTGGAACACGATCGCGTTGTTGGTCGGGGAGTTGATCATGTTTGTCGTGGGGGCGAACGATAGACCGAACCAAGCGAGCAACGGGTCGGCCGACGTGACGCGAACGCACGCAGACTTGCCGACGAGGACGCTTTGGATCGACAGGGGCCCGTTGCCGAGACGGACAGACGGAGTCGATGCCACCGCCGCTTCGTCGCATAGCCTGGCGACTGCTGCAACCACCGGGGTCGTTGGCGCGGCACGTGGAGCGACGGCCACGACCCCGCGCGGTGAAAACTGTAGCTCGGCCGACCCTTGGATGTCGTGGAAGTCGGGGAATGCGGTCGTGCCAACGGCCCAGTTGACGATCGTGGGGGCTTCGACCGAGATCGCAATGTCGGTTGCTGTTGTGGCCTCCAACGGCCGTTCTAGTACGTAGGTGGTTGTGCCGCCAATCGTCGAGGCATGCACAATCGTGTACGAAGCGGATGGGTTGGCGGAAGGTAGTACAGAGTCTGGCGCGGCCTTGACGAGATCGACCGTGTTTGCGGTGTGGTTTGCGATATTAAACACGATCGCGTTGTTGGTTGGCGAGTTGATCATGTTGGGTGTCGGGGCGAAGGAGAGCCCAAACCACGTCGCCGACGGCAAGTTGGTCAGGGTCACTTGGATGCACGCGGTGGCTGCATCGACAACTTTGCTTTGGATGGACATCGGGCCGTCGTTGAGTTGGACGGGCAGCACATCCTCCAACAACGCGGCCGAACAAAGTGCCGGCGGCGTGGACGAATCTGTGAACGTCACGTGGGCAGATCCTTGGATGTCGTGGTAGTCGGGGAACGCTGAAAAGCCCACGGCCCAGTTCACGGTCGTGGGCTCATTCAACTTGATCGGAACGTCGAACGCGGTAGTTGCGGCAAGCGGACGTTCATAGGTAAATGTGAACTCGCCGTTGGAGGCGGCGGTATCGACGACGCGGCATGACGACGCTGGATGCGCTTCGTAATGCACACCAAGAGGCGCAGCGTCCTCCAAAACATAGAGAGCGGCGGACGCATTGTGGGTTGTGAACAGAATGGCGTTGTTCGGTGGAGAGTTGATCATGCTACTCGACTTGGCAATGGCCAGAGCAAACCATGTTGCGTTGGGCTGGTTCGTGAGCGACACTTGAATGCAGGCCGAGTTGTTGTGGACGGCGCTGCGGAGGGAGACGGGGCTGGCGGCGCCCAGTGGTGTCCAAGCAACTGTTGCGAGTTGCGCGGACGAGCACGCAGCCGATGCCGTCGCGGCAGCCGCGCTCCAGACGGCCGCAATGCCCTTCATATGGCAAAATGAGTGCTGTGCACACTCCGCATCCACTCGGACGTCGAAGCCCTTCGCCACGTTTGACGTCGGAATGTCGAGAGGCGAAGGATTTCCATGGATACTTGAGATTGCTTTCAGAAAGAATGCACTCTCTTACTCTCAATTTGTATCTTTGGACTCTGGAACGGCACTGGGACGATTCTTGGTCCACGCAGCCCACGCTGTCCAGACATCGGCCGTAGCATCGTGCTCGATACCGCTTCAACGGCTTCGTCGGTCGAGATGGCCCGGCTGGGAACTTGAGAGTCCAGAGAGTGGCCAGTCACCAATGTTCGATGCCGTGGCTTGTACATGGTATTGATTGGCTGAAATGAACCAATCAAAGGATTGCACATTCGATTGTCATTCCAAAGAATGTTGCAGCCAATCAAAAGCGAGGAAATCTCGAATGTTGATCGGATCAAGTTCAACAAATCACGCGCAACGGACGACATTTGGGACGTGTGACGTGGAAGGCAAGTGAAGGCACGGCGCCGTGAGTCATCGAGCTGCCACCCCGTCAGCGACGGTATGGTCATTCGACCGCGTGTAGCCAAGGAGCTGTGGGGTCTGCGGCGTCGGTCGTGATGTTGACACCGCAGGTCATTCATTCACCGAAACTTGTGGCATCTCATACACATGCCAAGTCCATGCAAGCTCGCCATCGGTCTATTCGAGCGAGATCTGCGAGAAAGGAGTGCATTACGGAGCAAATGCGCATGAGGGAGTGCACCATGCAGGCGTCCAGGCACCCTGTGTGGCCACTCTCGATGCTTTGTTGGGCCCACATTTCCGGGCACGGGTTCATTACATGCAGGAAACTCGACTATCGCTTAGCAGCCCTCCTCGACTTGTCGAAGAAGGGCCCAAGCGCTAGCGGCAAACAGTACATTGCGATCGAGTCATGGCATTGCTGCCTCGTCGCGAATTCGTCATGCTTCCAGTTGAAGCGTTTCCAAAATGAGACCAATCTTGTTCGGGTAGTCCAAATGACCTGTCACAATCGCTGACAGATCGGCGTTTTCGACGCCTGCCACGCCTTCAATGGGCCCGAGGCCAGCGGGCGATCCAAGCGACATGCTCTACAAAGTTGCCGTCGGCAAGAATAAATTTCCATTCCAAGGCAGTGTCGTACCTGGTAGCGAAACATGATGGCGAGCATCCAGTCGTTGGACGAGTACCCATTGACCAACCGTCCGGCCACGACCTGCTTGACGGCGCTCCAGTCGGCCGCGGCCACGGACATTGCCGCCCCCAGGACGACGGCGTTTTCAATGATGCCAAGGCCGTCGTCCTGTCCACCACCACCATCAGATTATCCATCGATCGCCGTGACCTCTCTAGACGATCTCTCTTACCCCTTGACCCGCCAAATGCTTCAAACAGGAAAAGATCAACCGACCGCCCATGCCATACCCAACGAGCGAGACCGGTCGTAACCCTTGCTGGCGCGCCATCAACGTCTTCGCAAGGAGAACGCCACACGTATCGGCTCGGGCCATGACCATCGCCCACTCGGAATCGATCATGTTGCACAGGTTGATGACGAACTTGGGAAGCGCGACGGCGGCAAACAGCGCGGCAAATATTGTGCGCTGAATGATCTCGCCGCGGGCGTAACTCAATATCATCTCTCTTGTAAACGTGCGCATGTTCTTTCCGAACCGAACGAGCACGTCCTTTTCCCAGCACAAACTGTACTGGTCGCCGAATGGCATTCGATGCTTCCACTGCCACGCACGCAGCTGGACTGGCGACGGCTCCGTGTACGGCTTGCCATCCGTTGGAAGCACCTGCTCCAGTCGGACCGTCACCTACGGATAATTCACTTGACAAAGGAGGACTCCACAGCGATCGATTTCGCACCGGGTCCTGGTCCAACGGCAGGTTGTACTGCTTGCGCAGCATAGCAAACAATTCGTCTTCGCGACCTTTGTATCGCTCCAGCATGCTGTCGACAAGCCCGAGCTTCTCTGGGCAAAACTGCGCATAGAACGCGCGCAAGTATTCGCGGGGGGTCCCAAATGCATTGGAGAAGTCGGCCGCGTTGTCTTCTTCGAGCCATCCTGCCACGCACACATAGACGTGCATGCCATCGCCTGGCGTGAGCAGCTGAAACTCAAATTGCTTGATTCCCAGGGTCCGTCTATCGGTCTTATAACCAGCCAGGCCAGCCCCCGCCGTGCCTAAATCCAAGTGAGCTCCACATACCACGGTGACACAATACCAAACAACACCGTCGCCGCCGTCACAGCTCCTGATGATGCCAAAGCAGTGCCGATGACCGCCCCGGCCCCACCCAAGGCAGAGAACCCCGCCGCGACGAGTGGGGTCGCCAGGCCACCGGTCAACGCCAGGAGGGTGCCACCGGCTACAGCTGCACCACCAATGGCCAAGTTGCGCCGCCAGTCCGTCCACTTTCGAGGACTCTGTACTTTTTTGGTCGATTGAAGCTCGGTAGCTTCGAGAAGCAAAGCACGCGCCAACACGACTTCCTCGGCGCCGATGACCGTCCAGGAAATATTGTGGAATTGCCGACATGCGATGCGAAACATGGCCCGGGTTCGTGCGTCGTAGCTAAAATATGCTAGGTAAAGTGAAGAATAGAATGATGCTGATGTACCCGACGGCATGGGTTGTGCGCCAGAGAACGTAGCAGAAGAGCTGGACGATCTCGTCGTGGGAGAGCTCCGTCTCGATCAAGGCGACGAAGGGGCCGCTGTCAATGGGCATCTCATCCAGCGACGCTGTCGCAGAGTTGGTTGTAGCAGGCGACCGACTTCGCTCCGACTGCACGACCGGCAACAACCCCTCCACAGCCGACGGTGACAAGTCGAAGCAGGTTTGCGCAAGAAAGCGAAAGTACGACTGTGCCCACAATCGAGACTCCGATCCGTCGTTCACAAGTGAGAGCGAGCACGCAAACACTCCCCCGACAGCTCGTTTGCCACCTGACGACAAACGCATCATCAACCGGGAGTGCGCGACTTCGACATCCTCCGGTTCATTGGTATCAATATGTAGAGCGCTAGGCGGGCCCAGCAAGCTCTGGTTCGATGGAGCGAGACGTGGAGGGTCGGCTGTATCAACAGCTTCTGATTGCTGCACAGCGAGAGCTTCCATCGTGGCATCTAGCGAGTTCGGTGCGCTGTTCTTTGGGGAGAGCGACATGGCCACTTCACATCTTCAACGAGGCACGCTGATGACACCAAAACTCTATAAATGAATATATTTGAATTTCTCCAATAAATTCAATTGCAAACCAAGTAAAAACGAATGAACTCAGCGGAGAATGAATTTCCAATTGCCACAGGAAACGACAGCACTGTGGGCCTTCGTTACGCTCGCATATCTTACAATCGCGTCCAACGTGAGCAACCCGCTACTATGTTAAGGCTTGTGGCATTGCCTGAGCGTTGACGGATGCATTTGAGCCACATTTGTGCGTGAAGAGACAAGTATCGATCAACTTTTCGCACGAAAACCAAGCAAATATTCCCAAAATGTCATAATTCTTGCTTCAATATCGGCAAATATTTTTGAATCGCGAGTGGCTAGCACTTAAAGACATTAAATGTGAGAGGTTTTCGTATACATAATTCCTTCTTTTTCGATATATTATTTCCCACAGGTATATCTCGGTCCTTGATTGGTCCGCGGCAATTGTGTGGCGTGAACTGCAAAGGCGGTGACTTCTGTGACTTTCGAGCGCGTACCCCACGAAGATGCTGTCCACGGCCAAGATGACGCGCGGAGCTGTGCAGAAGCTCAAGTCGCAAGGTGCGCGGCGGCTCCACCGCTTGCGAACGTCTATATCTGACCCTTATACCTGTCTTGTGTAGTGCGCTTGTTTCAATCGTCCGCGGTGTTGAATAGCACTCAAGGCGTATGTGGCCGCGTGCGAAACCCTTTCACGGACTGACGACGTGGTTATGTTTGCAGGAAGCACCCCCTCTTACCCGCGTCTACGGTGGTTTGAAGGACGAGGACCGCATCTTCACCAATTTGTACGGTGAACAAACGTGGCGTGTCGACGGCGCGTTGCGCCGCGGCGATTGGTACCGCACCAAAGACTTGTTGTGCATGGGTCCGGAATGGATCATCCAAGAAATCAAGGACTCTGGTCTGCGTGGGCGTGGTGGGGCCGGATTTCCTTCTGGTCTCAAGTGGTCGTTCATGCCCAAGCAAACCGATGGTCGTCCCTCGTTCTTGGTACGGTCGTTTTTCGTCCACCCCTCCGTGCTCATTTACATGTGTAGGTCGTAAACGCCGATGAGTCCGAGCCTGGTACTTGCAAGGATCGTGAAATCATGCGCAAGGACCCGCATAAGCTCGTGGAAGGGTGTTTAATCGCGGGATTTGCCATGCGTGCTCGCGCTGCGTACATTTATATTCGCGGAGAATTCTTCAACGAAGCGATTATCCTTCAAGAAGCGATCCACGAAGCGTACCAAAAGGGCTTCCTCGGCAAAAACGCGTGCAACTCGGGGTACGATTTTGACGTGTACCTCCATCGCGGCGCCGGCGCGTACATTTGCGGTGAAGAAACGGGGCTTTTGGAGAGTTTGGAAGGTCGCCAGGGGAAGCCGCGCCTCAAGCCTCCCTTCCCGGCTAACACGGGCCTGTACGGGTGCCCTACAACCGTGACGAACGTCGAAACAGTCGCAGTGTCTCCGACGATTTTGCGTCGCGGCGGGTCCTGGTTCGCTGCGCTGGGCCGCAAGAATAACTCAGGGACCAAGCTCTTTTGCATTTCCGGCCACGTCAACAACCCGTGCACGGTCGAAGAAGAAATGAGCATTCCCCTTCGCGACTTGATTGAAAAGCACTGCGGCGGCGTCCGTGGCGGGTGGAGCAACCTTCAAGCGTGCATTCCCGGCGGGTCCTCGGTCCCGGTCATGGACGAGGCCACGTGCCAGAACATCCACATGGACTTCGACGACCTCAAGAACACGGGCGGGTCTGGTCTCGGGACGGCCGCCGTCACGATCTTCGACAAGTCGGTCGACATGGTAGGCGCGATCCGCCGGCTGTCGCACTTTTACACGCACGAAAGTTGTGGGCAGTGCACGCCGTGCCGTGAAGGCACGGGGTGGATGGAAAGCATCTTGACTCGCATGGAAACGGGGAACGCCGACTTGGAAGAGATCCCCATGCTCGAAGAAATCTCGCGTCAAATCGAAGGACACACGATCTGCGCGTTGGGCGATGCTGCCGCCTGGCCCGTCCAGGGCTTGATCAAGCGCTTCAAGCACAAGTTGGTCGAGCGTATTGAAAATCCCGCGAGCTTCAACAAGGCCGACTACTTTCAAAAGGCCTGGCCTGGCGCCAAGTTCCAGAACCATGACTGGGTCAACAAGTACGCTGACGGGTCAGCCTACGCCAAGCATTAATGACGGCACGTCTACCTGCGTCGACCCACTCGCGTAGAATGCATAATACAACCCCGTGATGGATCTGTGACTGTACACACTGCCCGACAAGGTCGGGTCGCTACGTGTCTGGCGTTCATGGTACCCGGTCCCTCTCCAGCCTCGGCTCTCGTGTGAGCTCGCGAGTCCACACGTGAACCGAGGTGAGGAACGGTCAAATCCATCGCCATGCCTGTGCATCGCATTGCATTCGGAACGCAATTCTCTCTTACGCCTTTCATCGGACACATTGGCATTATTGGTCACTGAGGAAGCTGTCCAAGCGCCGTCACAAGCTAGACGGCGTGCCCTCTGCCTGTGAACACATTGAGTGAAAATTCTGGATTGTCCCACCGTCCTCGGAAGAAGGGCCACGACGCCACGTCGTAATGCAAATCAACAATGTCTCGCTCGAGACGTAGGGATCCATTGGAGTTCAGGGTCGACAGGCAGCCGGAGCTCCGCCCTTTGCACGCATCCACACTGCAGCAGGTGAAGTGCTAGGAATCCGGTAGACGACGTTGGCTTGGTCTGGCCTTCTGAATGAGGTGGCGATTCCATGCAGGTTGTGCTTTACGTTGCGAAGACTGCGTGGCTTCTAGTAACACGCAGAAAATTGCTATCCACCAGCATCAACCGTCAACTTGATCGCAACGTGGGCAGGCCGCACCACCACCGAGTTGGATCAATACCGAACTGACACATTCCTTCCATGGGAGGTTTTCCCGCCCACGCGCTTGGAAATATCTTCTGGCAGGACAACCAGAGCAGGGCTTTACGGACCTGTAGCAGCCACATCGATGGGTCGCCCAGAATTTCTTCGAAGCTCAATGACCACGTGGCATCGATGGTCCGGTTGTGGAATCCATCGAGAATCGCATCAATCGCAGCGTATACTTGTTTGCGAGGGAAAAGTACTGTTAGTTTTAAAAGCGGGGGCTCCATATCTTGAGCTCCTCGGCAAGGCGTATCGACTTGGCAAAATGAGTTCCGGCATCCAGCTGCATCCACGCAATGTCGTTGGTAGTCTTCTGGCCTACCAAAATGACGTCAGGGCGAAGCATTGCGATCAAATCCTCCCGTACTTCTTTAAACGGTCGGCCCTGTGTCTCAATGTCGATTGCCGTGACGCCAGTGATGGTTGTCAACGGAGTGAAATGATGACTAACCATGACACTTTGTTCATCAGGTCCACCAGGACCACACGACTTGAACGCGATCGTTGTGACTGTTGATGTTCCCCGCGCTCACGGAAGACAAGGCATCCGGATCCGGAAACCAAGAACTCGATGACGAAAGGTCATGGTCAAGATTGTGACATGCATCGTTGCATTGTTGATGTCTATCAGCGACGCTACACCGTCGCTGAAGGACGACCTTCAAGCTCGTCATGCATGCGCCAGTAGGAAGAACAACTGAACATAGGAAAGAAGTTCTATTAACAACATCAATTTACTTCTCGACTTGTCGCCATAGCCCTCTACGGGTTGAACCAAAGCAGCCACGAATTCGAAACGCACTGCAAGGCACAAATCGC